AAAAAAAAAAAAAATCAGGGATGTGGGGCCCATCACATTGCTCCACCAATCCATCTCCATTGTCGTACTAAGATGTTACATTTGTTTAGAGTTAAGGTTGACATTTTGATATTATGCCTTTTTCTTACCAAGTCCTATGAAAAATAGAGAAATTCAAGTGAACATGATTGGTTTTTTACTATATTGATCAACTAATTAGGCGAAATTTAAACCTAAGTTAAAATAGACTCTGACTTAAAATGGATTCGACATTCAATTGAAAGTGATATATGAGTCAATTTACGAATAATTAGTAAATATTATCAAAAATAATATCATGGAAGAGAAAAGTTATTGAGGGTTCCAAGAAAATCGGGATCTCTTTTACTTCTTCTCTCACACACAAAATACATTTGATTGTGTTTGAAATTACTTATTTTATAAAATTTGAATTTAATTTTTAATGTATTAATAAAATTACTTTAACTAATTTTGATTCGTTCATGCTGTCTCAAACAGTCAAACAAGAAAGGGGAGCCGTAACCTACATTATTCTATTCGATTTATGAGTATCAGCCACCAATTGGAGATCAAAGTGTGTCACTCACCTAGAATTTATCGAATAAAGACTTTGATGCAGCGAATTGGAGGTAGAGAAGGAACAAATTCTCTTCGAATCAAATTTTAATATTTGACTTTGTAAATTAAAGCGCACATCATTTTTTAAATGCCTATTAAAACATGTTCTAACTGTTAATTGGCAATTTAATCCCTTTTAATCTAAGTCAAAATTCAGATTTTAATCTATGTTAAAATCAATAACTAATTTTAATTATATATTTTATGAGACTCGCAGTTTTTTATTCACACATTTCATTAACTTTTATCAAAATCTAATAAAAATATAATTCTGATTCCCACAAAATAGAGACTAAGTGTATAATAAACTAGAAGATAAAGATATTACGAGTATCAAAAAGAGAATGTGACCTATGTGGTTACTAAAACGTCTCTAAATCAAATTTTTATTTTTTATGAAAGTTTTAACAAATTTTTGATAAAATTTTTTAAATGTGTAATTAAAATTGAAATTTGATCGATTGAAAAATAGATAAAATGTTAGTAAAGATTTATCAAACAATCACTAATATAGCCTAGTGAGAAATGAATAAAAATAAGAATGAATTTCTCGAAATTTTGTTATTTAGGTATCTTATGTGTTATTTATTTATTTATTTTAAAAAAAAAAAGAAAAAAGAGTGTTACCACCCAAGCTCGTTGCTCTCCATCCGCCATGGATCCACTCCACGGCTACACAGGGAAGAACATGTCAAAACTCAAATCTACCCTTCATATTCGCCCTTGAAAAGGAATTTATTTTCTGGGTAAAACCGTCAAAACTTATATCTCACCCCTTTTACCAAATAGTTTGGCATTATCCAAAACTCAAAACCAGATGTCTGCTACCAAAGAGTTCAGAAAAGCAGAAACACTGCTAACATTTTTCTTGCTGTCACCAAAGGGTATTATAGTAATTAAGTGCCACTAAAAATCAAAACGCCACTCAATTAATCAAGAATTAAGGGGTGCCCCAGATCAAATTCTTCTCTATTTAACGTTGCGTTAGGCCTAATTAAAGTTCTCTCCTTTTTCACCCTCTTTCTCTATCTGATATTACTGAGGGTGTTCTACAAATGACTTCACACCAAAAAGTTGACTTCTTTTCAGAAATTTCCTTTGAAGGGTAATTTTCTGTTCTTTATTTTCTTCTGGCAAATTCATTTCCATCTTTGAACTGCATGCTTATGCTGTATTTAAGAACTATGCAGCAAATAAGCTTATGAAGGTTCTTCGTATTAGTATGATTCTGAGTTTGAGTTCATTTATTTTCTTGATTGCTTGGTGAATTAAATGGTTTGGTGCGTATTTTAGCGTTTATTATTTTATTTTTTTTTATTATTGAATTTGGTTCATAGTATACCCGAAATAATTGTTTTAGGATTAAAGGATTTTAATCAGTGCTGTTGAAAAATTGCATTATTTAGATTTTTATTTTTATTTTTTTACTGTTACTCTGTTATCTACTTTTAATTTTATCACATAGACTGTATTTGATTACTCCATGCTCCTCTCTTCATATAGGCATAGGTTGGAAGGTTTTCACCTTCCCGTTTATTACTATGTTTCTCTTATTGACCAACTCCATGTTCCTCTCTTCATGATTCGAATAGAGTTGAGAGTGCGTTTGGCTCTCTGTTTTTCGGGTTTCTTTTCTCTTGTGTTTGAGTTTATGGATCTTCAATGACTCAGGTTTAATCCCATGAAGACGATAAATCTGTAGCTCACAAAGAACTACCCTTCAATGTTCTTGAATATGAGCAATGTCATGAATAACAATATCTCAGATAGCATAAACGGGAGAGATCACTTCTTTCAACATGTTTATTTGTTTACCACGTTAGGGCTAATGATTGTGTGGGTGGTCGATGATCTTTGTATGGAGAGTTTGTTTTCTTTATGACTATATAAATCTTCAAAGGCCACTGCTCTCTCTCAAATTGGATTACATTCATAGTTGAAATCCCCTGGTTTTACGGTTTCAAAGCATATTGTTTAATATCTTCTCAATTACTCTTCCCCCGGGGGGGGGGAGGGGTTAGGTTTTCTAGTTTAATCAACCATTATTTCTCTCTTTTAGAAGAAAGTCAATGAAACAAATCAATCCCGTTTTGTGGTTATCTTCAACCCTGCGTCCTTGTTACTATTTTCACCTTCACTGAAAAGAAACTTTAACATACAAATTATCTTAGTTTGACTTAAAAAAAAAGGTTCTTTTGACTCTTAATGTGGATAGATTCATAATTCTCCAAAATAAATTAAGATGCTTGCCATGACTAAAATGATTAATTCACCGTAACCCCACAAATAATTACCCATTAAGCAATAAGTTAGCCTGATTTTTAATGATCCAATTTTAGTTATTGCATATATGATATCGCTGTCTGTGTTGAAGTGAATGGTAAACACAGATCTGCATATGTTTTGTTTATGTCATGCTATAGCTGATAATGCTTATGTGGCTTCATTAAATGAAGTATTCTCTTTTCATCATTGTTCGTCTTTTTCTTTATTTATCTGACTTGACTTAAACAGTAATTCTGATCTCGATTTGCATCACGAATAATGTTTTAATTTCCATTTTCTTGCACGAATATTATATTAAATTAAGGGTCAAGTTCTTTATTATGACAGGTGAATGTATTAAGATTCTGTACCGAGAGGCAGGAACCGATGTCTATTTGGATTGCTTCTACTATAGAATTCTGTCATAGAAACGTTATTAGATCATGAATACAGCGCTTTGAGATTCAAATTTGTTGATTACTTAAGGCAGGTAATATAATGGATAGGTCAGACACATCAGGTTTTGTGAGTGGTGGAGGTCGCCCGTTAGGGTTTATTCTTGTTTTTTACATTTTGATTTATAAATTTTCCTTCTAGTCTTGTAACCTTCTATTGGTAGGAGTTTTAGTTTCTCTCATAAGAACAGTATGTTTCCCTCTTTTGATGGCAAGCTCTTAAAGAATGGAAACACTAGGGACACCTCTTTACAATTGGATTGCCTTGGTTACGAAAGACCTGAAACTGCCGGGTTTGAGAACAGCCGAACCGATAGTGTTCCATGTATTTATGCGAATGCTCCAGATGATGGGTGCAAATTAGTGCTTGGATTGGGCCCAGCGCCTAGTACATACTTGGATAACTTCTCATCTTCGTGTGGCAACAAAAGCAAAGGACTGACATCAGTATCATCAACTGAGCATGATTCAATTCTAAAACTAGGTCTGTCAGGAGGCACCAACGAAGTTTCCAGAGCACTTGATTTTTCAGCTTCCACAGAATGTACTTCTCAATTTTCTTTGGATGGCAATAGACTAGTGATCCCTGTTGCCGACGAGGGTTCTACATCCAGCAAGAAATCCTCTGGTTATCTGTCAAACTTTTTTCTTGCTCCAAGATTGGAAAAATCCAAAATTTCATTGACGGGAAATACACTTCTAGAGCATGGAGCAGCATCTCATTGCCAATTTTCTCAGCTAAGTTCTGAACCTTCTGGTAGTTCTAAGTACTCGATCAGTATCCTGACAGAACCTGCAAGAGCTGCAGAATCTTCAGATCACAGGATGAACAACACGAAAAGATGCAAGTTTGCGGGATGTATGAAAGGGGCCCGTGGGGCAACAGGTCTTTGCATTGGCCATGGCGGTGGACATAGATGCCAGAAACCTGGGTGCAATAATGGGGCCGAAAGTAGGACTGTCTACTGTAAAGCCCATGGAGGAGGGAGGAGGTGCCAGTATCTGGGATGCACTAAAAGTGCCGAGGGGAAAACAGATAACTGCATAGCACATGGTGGTGGAAAACGCTGTGGTTATCCAGAAGGGTGCACAAAAGCAGCACGTGGCAAGTCTGGTCTTTGCATCAGACATGGTGGAGGAAAGAGGTGTAAGATGGTTGGCTGCACTCGCAGTGCCGAGGGGCAGATTGGCCTGTGCATCTCTCATGGCGGTGGACGACGATGTCAATTTCTAGGTTGTAACAAGGGTGCTCAAGGGAGTACCATGTTTTGTAAGGCACACGGTGGTGGAAAACGATGCACGTTTACAGGGTGTACCAAAGGTGCCGAGGGAAGTACATCTCTCTGCAAAGGGCATGGTGGTGGAAAACGTTGTCTCTTCGATGGTGGTGGGATATGCCCAAAAAGCGTGCATGGAGGTACAAATTTCTGCGTTGCCCATGGTGGTGGAAAGAGGTGTGCTGTTCCAGGCTGTACCAAGAGCGCACGGGGTAGAACTGATTGCTGTGTCAAGCACGGAGGTGGAAAACGTTGCAAGTTTGTAAACTGTGATAAGAGCGCTCAAGGTAGCACTGACTTCTGTAAGGCCCATGGTGGCGGAAAGAGGTGTAACTGGAGTGAGGGAAAATGCGAAAAGTTTGCACGGGGAAAGAGTGGGTTATGTGCTGCACATAACAGCCTAATTCAAGGGCAGGAGACTAGTAAAGGAGGAATGCTCGGACAAGGACTTTTCCACGGATTGGTTCCTGCTACTTATAATGCTATAAGTAGCTTCGACAACACATGCCTGTCCTCTGGAGTGAGTGTGATATCGGATTCCATAGACTCGATTGAGAAGCGGCCGGCTAAAAGACACCAGCTTATCCCACCTCAGGTATTGGTTCCTCTGTCAATGAAGGCCTCATCGTCTGGCTCAAGACCAGTAGGTTCAAGACCAGGAGGTTCGGAGAAGCAAAAGGAAATGAGCACTAGGTTTAACATCGGCAGCAGCAGCATTGATTTTGTGGGTCCTGAAGGGAGGGTCCACGGTGGTGCATTCATGTCGTTACTCAGGGGAAACCTGAAGAACGGGATTAACGGGATTTGAATTGGTTCTACCGAACCTTCTATTTGTAATTTATATGTTCATGGTTATGAAATTCTTGATATTAATCCTTGTATGAACACTTGCAATATTGACACTAAATGTAAGTTGTTCAGCATCGTCCAAAACTTATTTGTATGTTCAATAATTTGTAATATTATGCATAAATCTTCTATTGATGGTACTCTCGTTCCTAGTCTTCCTGTTCCTGTGAAAGGTGTGCTTTGAAGCTCTCTTACACATGTTCAGATTTATATATGTACGTACTTTTTTATAATGTGTGATCAATCCATATAGTTGTGATCATAGTGAAACAGTATAAATGACATATGAAGTCCACAAATTCACATCTCGCGGCAATGAAAGAAATCTTCAAATAATTCACATTTTTTTTTCCTTTTCGTTTTGCTCTCTCATCGCATCTCATGAATTGATTTGATTACACTACGCAAAACATTCTCAATTTCAGGTAAATTCATTACAATTGACGAATATTATTTAAATCCTTTTACGAATGAGCTTTGAATTTGATATCCCTGGCTTTCGCGCTTCGATTATTACTGATTTCAAAGATCGAAAATTGCAAACAAACATATTGCCGTTAGAAATCTGTACAAGAGCTCCTCTTTTTGCATTTTGTTTCTCTCTTTTTACATTCAAATTTCTGTTTCGAATAATTGAGTTTCCAGTATCTATCTTGTGATTTTACTTGTTTCGTATAGAATTTCTTTGATTTTCCTGTCGTAAGGTTCATAAGTTCCAATTTCGAATTACAACAATCCTGCTGAAAATTTCAGAAATTTTGTCGTATAAATAAAATTGTGGATTTCCGATTGAATTTCAACTACGTAAGATATAATCTGAGGTGTGTACTAATTAATACTATGGATGAAGTACATTTCCATGGAAAACCTCCATAGTTCCAAAGCTCCGAAGCTTCAGTCGATAAGCCGCACGGTTTGCCCGATCAATATGCAAAATGTCATTGGCCGCCGTTATCACCGTTCAATCTTCGATCCGTACGCATCCGACAGCTCGAACTCTCCATCTCCACTGGCGAAGTACCTTCGCTCGTCCACTCCGCTGGGGGCGATTGAGAACCTGCAGACGCCGCCGACGGTGTTCAGGGCACCAATGAAGGTTGAGGAAGATGTACTGGTAATGGACGGCATTCTGATAGATAAGTCCAACAAAAGCAGCGACAGTTGTGGTGTAAGGGTTAGGTCATCCCTAAAATCATCTGATTCCAGGAGAGGCAGCTTAGGGAGTTTGATTTCTTCTTCTTTAACGTCGTCATCACCGCCAGGCGGCGGTGGAGGGAGCGAGAATGACAATAGAAGCCTCGTCTGCTACAAGGCTGAAAAGTGTCGGTCGTGCGAGGATTCTGGTATATGCCGCTTCGGATCCAAATGCCAGGTCAATACAATTCTCACTCTTCGATAAAACAGTACGGTATCAACAGTAAGTAAGATTCATCCACGGCTGTGATTATTAGTCTTGTTTTCACGAAAAATCTAGTTGCAGTTACTGTTCACATTGCTAAATGAAGTACAAACGCTAGAGCACGATGTACAGCATCAATATTTCTGCTGAAAAGAATTGTACTTTATTTCTAATTTCCTAAAGTCAATTTCTTTTCTGTGTTCATAGAATGTAATTGCAATTTGAACAGGTTGCACACCGGAAAGAAGATCTGCGCCTGCGCACAAATCCTTCGTCAAGCAAGAGCATATTTGAGGTATAAAGAACTGAGAATCATATTCCTGTTATCAAAAATTTAACATAGAGATTACTAATTTGGTGGTAATATGAATAAATTTCTCAAACTATATCTTTGTGATTTCGCAATTTTCGTAGGCACAGATCTGCGAATCATACAACATTTCGGGAGGATCAAGTTCTTCATCTTATGGCACAAAGTGCCGCTTTGGTCCTCGCCAGGTCAAAGCAGCACCAGGACCAGCAATCACGCCACCACTGTCAATACCTATGGCCTTGCCAACATCACCAATCGAAATCAAACAACCTTCTGATGCCGTTGTCTTTAGCAGGCCTTCAACTACCAGTCTTACTACCTCTGATTGGACACCTCAGGATGATGGAATTGAGATTACTTTACCCTGTGGTACGACTGAGAGAGAGAATCCCTCAAGAGAAGATGTGGATGATCATATACAGAGGGTTCTCTATGGAACTGGTTCAAGGAAAAGACTGCCTGTTTTTGCTGAATTTTGCACAGTAGATGATTGATTTGGAATGTCTTTGCTGAAGAAGACACTAATTCTCTGCTGAATATGACTCAGATTTTTTCTTTTTCGGAGCTAAGGTAACAGACTTGCATGCTTGCCACTGGTTAATATTTGTAAAATTTTAGGCGGTCTGGGTTTCTAATTTCGTTCTTCTGGAACATCTTATAGGCTATAAGATAGCACTGGAATTGAATAAAAGAAGTAAATAGTCGTATACCTTTCTGATAACATGCATTTTTTGTCGTGTGAAGAATGAAATTTACCCTACTGTATTGTGGAAATTTAGTTGACGTGGAAATAAAATTTAAGGATGTTTGGAACTTCATATTTGCTTCCCACATGAGTGTGCGTTTATGTTGAATAGATTTCCTCCTTCTGTATATTCTCGTTTTTCATCATCTATTTTTGTGAATTTTTAGTGTGTGTTGATACATTTTCTTCTGTAACTCTATTGCTTAACAAAATATAGTTGCTGATTGCAGCTAGCATGTACCTTCTTATTTAGTTGCTAATGTATCCATTTGAGGATGATAATCAATAATAGACAAGGACAATAGTATCTGCAAGAGAGAACTAGTGAGAATAATTGATTATGTTTGCATCGCCCTATGTTGCTGGTGCATGAATGTCTGTGTATCTGAGGGTATCCCAAGTTTTAGGACTTGGGGGCTCGACTGTGAATCTGAACCATAAATAAACAGACATTGATTAGTCTAGGAGACAAGGAGTCTGACATTAAGAAGCAGACCTAACGGATCGTATATCTTTAAGTAAAACCTTAATGCTTGGTTACTTGTGTAAGGTGTAAGATGTCTAGGTATGATGTCCATCCTTGAAGAGTTGGGCATTGGGATTGTGTCGTGTTAACACTAGGGCATTTATCTTAATCAATAGGTATGGAGATTAGTTGCTGTTTTCTTTTGCCTTTTGTTATATAATGATATGTAAGAATTCTTTAATCCTTTTATAACTCTATTTTAAACTGTTTTCCTATTAGGCTGCTTGCATAATTCGGCACTAAGAAATGGATTACCAATAATATATTTATACTTTTTTGTTTCTGCTATAGAAGCCCTGGCTTCTGTTCAATAAAATGGAATACGATTAGGATGTACAAATGTGTGTCAAGTATATGCTGGAATTGACATTAATATTGCTGCATTTGATTCTTCTCAATTTTTCGTCTCAGAATTGAAAGGAATACAACTTTCTAAAATGCTGATCACTCACCCATCAGTTTTCTGGTTGAATTCTTTTCTTTTTTAGTACTTTTACTATTAATAGCTATGCTCACTTCAATTTGAGAAAATAAAGCATATTTAATTTAATGAAATCAAATAACAAAAAACCTAATCAACTCCTTCTCCATATCTAGTGAAATCAAATAAAGCATACATAGCCCCCAGGGCATATCTCCAAGTGATAAAAGGGGAGGGTGGAGAAATCCAGCTTTGCTTGAGGTTGCCGCGTCAAGGGTTCGAATCCTGATATATGGATTTGGCTCTTGGGTAAGTGCAAGTGTACAAGCAGCTTTCCACCCTGTACCCTTGGAGACATAACCTGCGATTTACCTCCCTCACGATGTTCCAGTGCAGGGGCGGTGGGGGACCCTTAAGGTTGGGGTTCAACCTTTTTAAATAAAGCATACATATATAATAGAATTCTCATTTCTTATTTTATCCAACATTTTGTACTTCAAAACTCCGTACTCAATGCTGAATCCAAACATTTGCAATCATTAATGAAATTTAAGCACAATGAAAGAAGGGAGATTCCTTTTTTTCCCCTGTTAGTTATTTGAGACCAATTATTTTCTAAGGAGTCTAATCAAGGTTTATGGTAGTAGTGTTGGGGTAAACTGACAGTGAAGGAAGCCTTTGGACACTGCTTGTATATAACATCACCTGAACTACTTGAGGCAAAATAAACAAATTTCGTTGCAATCATCTTCTTCAATTATTAAGGAGAATGAACTAGTATTTGCCGCAAATAGAGCTTGATCGATCACCCAAATCAGATAAAAAAGGGTTGATCTTAATTGTTCAAATCTCTAACGACTTCAAATATGCTTATCCAAGAGTATTGTAAATCGTTCGTATTTTTTCTCGTCCATATCAATGACCTCTTCATCATTTTGCTTTGTCTTGATAAGAAGTTGAAATGTGGTGCCTCTAATATTCTTCTCAATTCTGAAACCAGAATAACATTTAATTTCAATGTGACGCATAGCTCATGAGTGGTAGAACTTCAATCTTATCTGAGAATGAATCGTCTATTAGTTTGATGATTGATCTTTGCTTGTACATCCTCCAGCTCCTCATCATGGAAAACTAAGGCCACGGTTGGTTTGTCATTTTCGAGCCATTTTCCGTTTTCGAAAACGTGGAAAACGCGTTTGATCCGTCGTTTTCGAAAACGCATTTTCAAAAACGAGTTAAAATTTGTAACTGAAAACGCAAAACGACTTTTTATCGTTTTTAACGTTTTCAATTATAAATGTCGAAAACGCTCAAAATGCGAAAAACGGACCGTTTTCGAGAAAACTAAAAATTGTTTTGAAAATGAAAATGAAAATGAAAAATGAAAATGGAAACTAACCGCACCCTAAATTTCCATCATGAAATAATATGTTACCGTATTCTTTGTAGAGTCCAATGTTGATCTACAGAATGCCAATGAATTGATGCAATTATGCATTGATCTGATTTTATAACAGGATACAAGAGAGTAAAGTTAATGAAACAAGGAATTGTACTGAATGGCAGAAGATTTAGATCCAGAAACTGGATTTGATATAATCATATCTCCTATAATGAATAAACAACCAACCTCTAAACATCCAACTGCTTCAGGAAATATTCTTAATGCTGTTGATGAGACTATTGATTTAGGTTCATAATCGTTTTTTCATTTCCTTGATCGAGGATTGGAAACAATTTCTTTATTTTCTTGATAAAAATTGAGGGCTTGTTTGGTAATAATTATGAGAACTGATTTTTTGACCGTTAGAAAGAAAAGTTGGTCCTACCTGTAAGTGAAGAAGTCAAAATGATGGTTGGAACAGTGAAATAACGGTCAAAAAATTGATTTTTTGAAATGAAAAATTGCTACCAAACGGGGGCTGTGTGTATTTTCGATATGGGTTTAGACTCCAGATCTAGACTCTTAGGGTCTGTTTGATTGCGAAGATGGAATTTGGGTGAAAAGAAAATGAATTCCAGAGAATTGAATTACCTAAAAATTATTTTCCTAGGAATTGTAAAAAAATGGAAGTTGGAATTTGAATTCCAAGTTTCATGAAAAATTTCATGCAATCAAACGGGGCTTTATTATTTTTAGTTTCTTTGTAGTTTGTATTTTGTAAGAGATGAAGTAGAGTCACTTTGAGCAGAGTTGCTCTTTCACTTTAAAACTTTTAACTCGTTATAGTTGTGCTTTGATTTCAGGTGCATGCCAAACTCTAGTCTCCACAATAAATTTGACTGAATTTTATGTTTTTGATCATTCCTTTTGCCTAGTTGGAGGGACCATGAGCTGCGGTAGAGCTTTAGCTTGCCCCTGTTTGCCCCCATTAAATTACATTTCATTACATTCTATTTTTCTCTTTCATTTTTTCAACCACACAATTTTTTATAAAATAATATTATACGTAAATCAAAAAATTTTCTTTCTTTTTCAACCACTCATTTTTTCAACAAAACGCTATTCCTCCCATTTTTATTACCAAATATGGGGGCTAAACGGGGGCTAATTTATTTATTACGCCACTTCTTTGATTAGTTATAACAAATTGAAATAATCCGAAACATTAATGCATAACACTGTTATTAAATGTCTAAAACACATTCAGTAAATAAACCAAGTTACTAATTTATTGTTATTTAAGTAGGCGAACTGGTATTGTTGTCTAAGGAATAGAGAGTCAATCTCAAAACTAATCTCTAAATGAATTTTATCTAGAACTCAACACTTGCATTTGTTGGTGTCTGACACTTCGACCAAACTTTTATTAGAAAAAAGAATCAGGGAACCAACGTCGAGAAACTGGAAGTTTGTGTTACACTCGGAAAAGCTTAAGCTTAGGTGGCCATAGTAATTTCAAGGGATATCTTAATTAATAAATCTCTACTGCATTGTCATCGTCAACCACTCTCGGTAGGACAAGTAGCAACTATGACATCAGCTGATCAGCATCTATTTTACAAACAATTATAAGCAAGTAATGTTACACTAGGGATTGAGCTGGGCTGTAGCCCAGTCCATTAAAATTTTTTGGTGCAAAAAATTTGTGTAATTTTATTTTTTTATTTTTATTTATTTTGCATATTAGCCCGGCTTGTAGTCTGTCCTTGGATTACCAAACGATGGTCATCATTACCTGATAGCTTAGTTGAGACATAGGGGTCGTAATGACCTACTCGGTCGATCTCATCAACCAATCAAAAAATTAGAATTTTAGGTGGTGATAAACATTTTTAGGTTGGTACTATAGCAGAAAAGACTTTGAACGGGCAAGTGACATGGATTTGCAAATGGTCCTCTTCTAAGGGAGAACTAAGGGGACTCAAGAAAAAAAAAATGGAAAGAAAAAGAAAAGAAAATACCCTCAAACGTCTCTGTCAATTATTTTGAAGATTTTGATATCTATGCTCAATAAATTTTTCCTTTATGATGATTTAATCTTGCCACGTCATTTTCAGTCATCAACATTATCTGCATCTTTTATCAACAATAAAATAAAAATTAATAAAATAAAAAGGGAGTGAAAGGAAACTTAATACTCAAAATTATAAACAAAATTTTTAATTTCCTCTGATATTGTTTTCCCCTTCAATTGCTTGATTGGTTGCCGAGTTATTAGGTTTAGAAGAGCCTCTGCATTGGAAGAAGTTATGATTTTTTATTTTATTTTTCCAAACATTATCTGTTTCTACATACGTAATAATTTTTTTTTTTTTTTTTTTTTTTTTTTTTTTTAAATTCCTTAATACTCAAAATTATAAACAAAATTTTTAATTTCCTCTGATATTGTTTTCCCCTTCAATTGCTTGATTGGTTGCCGAGTTATTAGGTTTAGAAGAGCCTCTGCATTGGAAGAAGTTATGATTTTTTATTTTATTTTTCCAAACATTATCTGTTTCTACATACGTAATAATTTTTTTTTTTTTTTTTTTTTTTTTTTTTTTTTTTTTTTTTTTTTTTTTTTTTTTTTTTTTTTTTTTTTTTTTTTTTTTTTTTTTTTTTTTTTTTTTTTTTTTTTTTTATACAATCCATGTTAACATGGAAGATATTCTAAATTATCAATACAGATGAAGAATGCTTCAAGGACTAAGAGTCATT